GTAGGCGTGGTTGACTCTTAACTTTTATAAAGAATATCTCTTTGATTTTATATTTCAAGAATTGCTTAATCCAAACCTATTTGTTGAATAGTTTGTGTAAATTTTGTTGCCGTTTTTATGAGCTCATATTAATTGGTATACATTAATTATCTGAACTTTGAAAATAATATTGTCCGTTGCAGGGCCAACTGTGAAAAAACTGAAATATTATTAAAAATGTTAGAAAAACCCCATGTGCAGTACGTACACTACTACTCAAATGTTAGAGTCGGTAAGACTTTTTAATGTTTTTAAATATAGTAAAACAGTAATAATTTAAAATAACAGTTGTTTATTTTAATATGCGTTTCAAAACGTAGTGCACAGCAGTTTGGAGACATTGCACTTTACGCGTTTAGATAGAGGTAAGACGGGTCAATAAGCTTGCAGACAACGCTTTTTTTGTTTTATTTATTTATTCATTTTTTAAACTGAAATGCACGAGGAGTTCACGATGAAACAGTTCAAAACGTGCTTTTGAAAATATGATTAAAAATGGTAGAAAAACCCCATGTGCAGTACGTACACTACTACTCAAATGTTAGAGTCGGTAAGACTTTTTAATGTTTTTACATATAGTAAAACAGTAATAATTTTAAATAACAGTTGTTCATTTTAATATACTTTATGTAAGTTTTATGCAATATGTTATGTAATTTATTCCTGTGATGCCAAAGCTGAATTTTCAACAGCTGACTAAAAGTATGAATTTCTTTAAAAAAAATTCAAATTCCAAATCTTAGCATTATAGGCCTAAAATCTTTAGCACTACACAGAAATGTCACAATGGGTCACAGGGCGATTATTCAAAAGTTAGTACAATGTGTAGAGCTGCTTATATAAGTTAGTACAAGCTCATTGTAGCAGTCACACTTAATTTCATTGGAGTTTTAATAGTTAATAGCTAAGCTAAAGGTCACATGATTCTATAATGTTAATGTTAAACCTGACAGCCTTCATATTTGAACTAATGAATTGAATTAAATGTTCATCACTGATACGTTTGGCAGTATTTCAAATAATAAAATTAACACCAAAATGTTTTTTTTAATGATGATTGGCAGATGAATCATATCCCTGTAAACAATTGTATTAGCTATTTATAACACATTTAAATAATGTTCACTGAATTGGATACATACTGACTGTATTCATTTCTGAATTCCTTCTGTCATCATTGAATAACTGAGCATCTCTCGTGCACCTGGGCAGATTTGGGTCTCCTGATGAAGTCGTGCATCGATCAGGGTCAGCTGGTTCCCGAT